AAACTCTACCACCCCTTTGAAAACTGATCTGAAGTGGATCCCTTCTTTAGTGTTTACAACAGGAGGGGATACTACTGCCTCTTGAATGCTTTTTTTTTTTTTCCCCATGAGTGACTGTACTTTACAATAACCACATGCTAAAAAACTCAGTGCGGCATGGTATTTCACAGTCTCATCGACTTCTTGACATGCCAAGTTAAATTTGCCACACCACGAAGCATTGTGACCACAGCAATGTGATCAGACTTAAGTGGCTGCCATGTGGCACTGGAAAGGGGGGGGGGGGGTAATCAAAAATGCAAATTAACAGCCTGTTTTAGAGCCACTCATGTGATTTTAACCTTACAGCATCTAATGATCACAGAAAACATAACAATTCACCAATGTGTGGTAATATCATTTGCAGAGTGTGCACACAACTTAGGAGGTATCAGGCAGCAGCAACACTACAGGAAATCATGTATTACACAGATGTTTATTTAGGGTCGCTGTGGATGGAATTAACTGCAAAACTCTGATATGAGGAGAACTTTATTCCAAGAATACAACAGTCAAAAATATATTTTTTTTTCTGCAAATCTGTCTGAAACAGACGAGTTTACTATCGAAATAGTGTTTAACACAGTAACAGATACACAGAATTCTGGTAAGTGACTCGGTAGTATGGCTATATTAGCATGGTGAGGATGTAACTGACTGGGGGGAAGGGGGACTGTCTTTGTTATAAGGTTTATTGTTTTCATGCTACACCGAGAAAAGTGAAGAGAAAATAATGGAGGGCCCAAGATTTCAATTATATACTTCTTAGCTAAGGGATGGCTCACAAAGTTTTCTAGTCAGTTACTCGGCAATATGGGTGCTCCTTCCTGCAGAGTGCTTAGATATGAAAGGAAATGAGGAGCAGACCATTAATCTGTGCAGGTTCATAGAACAAGAGAAGAAATAGGAGCACTAGGGACATGGACCTACGATACACATGCTCTGGTTACTGGTTCATTTATATGCCATAACTTGCCCTTTATACATAAGAATATCTCTTTATAAGGATGCCACTTCAAGAGGCGATAATAACATAAAACGTACCACAGGGTTAAGGAACATCATCATAAATGTTTCATATACACAACAAACCCAATATGGATTAAATAGAAGTCCTTTATTCCTCTCTGCGTTCCTTCCTCACATTTAGGAAGGACACCAAGGATGGGGGTGGGGATGAATGGTACAGAATTTATGACATCACCTTTTACAACATAAAAACAGTTATCTAACCATGTAGTGGAGTGCAGGTGTATCAGTGTCCATGTATATTGCTAGTTGTGTGATTGTGTACTGAAGTTATTGTGTATCGCATCTAAGATTTGGTATTCATTTTTTTTTTCTTTTCTTTTCGTCTTTTGCAAAAATAAAACAGTCCACTGTCCAGCAGGGGTCTGCCTAAAAAGAATGAAGTCCTTTCCACCTTACACCCTCCCTTCCTGGCAGAACCTTACTCTGCATGGACTTTGGCCTCTGGCCTTTGCATGGATAATTCAGTAGCTAGAAAGGCTCCTTGGCCAAGTGCCGTGGCATAGGTCCGAGCATGAGAAAGGGGGAAGGCATTCTGTGCAGATTGGCTTGTTGATCGATGGTGGGGTATGGAATGGTAATCTGCCACATTATCATATTGGGATAGTGCAGTTATGGAGCTATGGAGCTTGCTATGGAGTGTTTGATATGGATAAAAGATGGCAGGTTCTCTTTCTGAAGTCTCAGGAACATGGCCTCTCAGGCTGTGGCTCCTCTCTGGCTTAGGTGGCGCTGTATTAGAGACAAACTGCGCAGTGTCCTCTCTGTAACAGTCTCGGTGAGAATTTTCTGCTGGCCTCACAATTGACCGGTCTTTATCTTCTGACAGTCTCATGTCTTTGTGATTGAGTCTTACTGGTTCCTGTGGGTTTGCATTGCACTTATTGTTTGAGGAATGATAAGATGCATGTTCAGAAGGCATTGGCATGGACTTGGAGTTGTATTCTGTGGGTGGAAATGGTGGACCATTTCTTCCATCTGAAGTTTGCCTGTGTCCAGTATCCTGCTGAGGAGGAGTCCGATGCTCAGCGTTTAACTCGTGTTGTAATCTACTCCTACTTGTTCCAGTCTGCTTCTGTGGCAGGGAGGGCCTATCTTGGTGCCCATTTCCGTATGGAGGAGGAGGTGCCAGACGTTCGTCACCTTCTATTCTTCCTGGATATCGGCTATCTTTTGATTCTGCAACACTTAGAAGGCCAGGGGTCTTTCCTGGGTCTGACCGACTTCTGAGATGAATCACATCTAAACCTGCTATATCGTCCACTAAAGATGGGGTGACGTTATCATACTGAGACATGACCGGTCCCTTGGATCTCTGACGTGATCTGTTCTCTCTTCTTAGGGACTGCAGCCTGTATCGGTCCATATCTTCCATATCCCAGGAAATATGAAGTGGCCGAGGATGTTCTGGAGGCACATCTCGACTGATGAAATTGTGCTCACGTAGACTTCCTCTTGGATATGGAGCTAGACCTTGTGATCGATATGTAGCCTTGGGCTGATGTCTTGTTGTTGTATAAGAAGCAAAATCACGACTTGGGTAGAGGTGAAACTGTCGCAAACGCAAAGTGCTATAGGGGTCCATATCATAGAAGGTTCCATCAGAAGAGTAATATGTTGTGTTCCCTGAATAGGGACTATATCGATAATGTACCCTCCCATTCTCAAAATAAGGCTGCAGCTGAGTAACATGATAATCTGAAGAGGAACTGAAGGGTGGACATGCTTTGTACTGGTATACTGGGCGTGGGCAGTAGGCAGGCTCTTCATCTGGGGGGACTTCAGTTCTGGAAATGGGGACTGCACGTACAGGAGGAGGTTGTGGTTGAATAGGCACATGCAAAGACTGAACCCGCCTTATGGTAGGATAAGGGGGTGTGTCCTCTGAGTAACTTCGTAGACCTGGACTCATGGATCCCATATAGTCTGCTCGATTTTTTGTGCGGGAGTGCTGCATTCCCGAGTGTTTAGCTTGAGTTATATAAGTGCCATAAAGGGTGGAATTAGAGGAGGGAGTTTCACAGCGAGTGGAATATGGCTGCATGTGTAGAGTGTCAGCTCTGTAGGACTTGGGAATCGCTGCTGCCTTATGATGCACTAATGTGTCGTAGGTATCGGTCAGATTCTCTGCCTCCATCTGAGAAGGATAAAGATGCCGGTAACTAAGCTCTGTGCTCTCTGGCTTACTGGATAGATATGATCGGTAGGCATCTCCCATTTCAGCTTTGTCTTCTGCTTTGGCCTGGGATGGATATGGATGTCTGTAGCTGGCCCCTTGCTCTATCATATTCTCAGACTTCATATGAGTTGAATAGTTGTGTCTGGGCAGTGCATCCTCCAGGGAAGATGGCAGCATCATTGTGTTCAGGAAGGAGTGATAATTGCTGGCTGTGATTGCCTCATTGTAGTTGGAGTGCAAAGCAGTAGCCAGGCGGCTCTCCATTGGTTCGGACAGGTGGAGCCGGTGGAGCTGTGCTCTGCACTGAGTGTGATGGGAAAGACTCTGAGCGCTGGTGAAGATGGGGCCTTGGACTGGGCTTATCTGAGGAAGGGGGTGGAGTGAAGGCTTCCGTAGGAAAGGTGGGATTCACTTCACTAGGTCCTGGCAGTGGCGTGTCTTCAGGGGGAATGGATCCTGGCACCTGAAATGTAGAACACACAGATGTTACAATTCATGCCAGCAGTTCATGTATGTAGGTGCATTATCCTTGTGATTCAAATGATCTGTGCCACTAATGCTCATATTAACTAGAATAGTTTCATTTTTCTATTATATGTATTAGAAAATTACATTAAGAATGTGCATGGTTGATGTCAGATATCTGTATTTGTCTTTTGTGCATAGCACAGTGTTAAGGGAATATATGCAATGTAAATCATTACACTTTAATGTCATTAAAGGGAAGGAGTATTATTTATATTATATATCTATATATAATATGTGTGTGTGTATACAAGCAAGTATATAACCACTGAAAAAAATTATATAGGTTAAAAAAAAAAAAAACATACATAGGACAGAAAGGGGGACTCACTTTTCTTCATGTAATTATCTTAATCTACTGACTGATCTCTGTAAAATAGCTTGTGGGGTTTTTTTTTTTAACTGGAGGTAATGAAAAGGAATCTAAAGCTCCACCTGCTGGCTAAATATGAGACTTCAAAATATGTCCCACTGTCAATTCATTTTTATACTGTATGTTAAATGAAACCGTACCCTTTCTCCTTTTTAACTATAAAAAAGTAAACTGATCAAATATTTATGTATGATTATTTATATTTAACTAATCATTTAATTGGAAAGTAAACTTTCCATCAGCTTGCAGAGAGATGGCATGCTCTGGAGTTGATGAGATCCACTGATGTCAGTGAATGAACAACTTACATTCTCACAAGTCAAAACTGAGCCTGTCTTTATCATCCTGACATGACCAAATTGGCCACTCAAAAGTCAGATATTGAAACCCTCTGGTAACATGATACCAGCATGGAAACTGATATGTTATTCTTCTTCCTGAGGCTCAATTATACCCAGCAGTTGTGGTGTGTTGCAGTGTACCATACATGCATTTTACATCCTGTTTAGTGCCATCCATTTTCAAAGGAAAAATAATCAGTCCATCCCATGCGAAAGTTAACATTTGCTCAATATGTATGGTGGACATACATTAATTGTATCAAAAAATGTATAATAAATATACATACCGATAGTGAGCATGCAACACTGTTAGGAGACCATGCAAACTCTGAACTAATGCATACTACACCTTTCCAAGCTTGCTGAATGGTATTTTATTCACATTCACGCAGCTTCACAACACAGATTGCACCATAGATACAAACTGAACTATTTTTGGTGTGGTTTACACTTGGGGGAAAAAAATACAAACAATTTGTACCAGTAGTTTAAAGGTTTAAATTTAATTAAATATTTAATGTATTAAAAAACTGAATTCTTGGGCTCTCAAGTGTCTATGTACCTGAGTGGAAGGGCTCAATCCGGGGGTAATGGCAGATGGATTTGGTCCTGGCATTGGATTCTGACATCTCACAGGGCTGTAGTGGATAGTGGTGATGGAGAATGATGAGCTGGTGTTGGGCTCTGATGTAATGGCAGGATTCATCTCAGTGGTGGCAGCTAGTGGTGGAGACAGCTTTTGTGGTGGCAGCTCTGGCGGTGGCTCTTCCTCTGGGGGTGGAGGCAGTGGTAAATCCATGAATTGGAGGTAGGGTGGTCTCTTCTGAGAAGAAACTTGTTGGGCTGACTCAGCCAGGGCCAACGCCAGCATCCTGGCAGCATTTTTCGGAGGTGGTGGGGGAGGAATGAAGGAAACAGTGGTGACAGGGACTGGATCCATGGGAGACTCCATGACACATGATCCTGGAAACAGAGGGGATATTTTGTCAGAACTATATAGGTGTGGATAATTACTGATTAAAATGCATACTCTTCTACATTACAGTCAATTACTTGCTCTAGTCATTAGGCTTACTCAGACAAGCAGTACAGTAACTAAAAGCAACCAGTCACCACTTCACAGCAGTCAAGGGACTTCTGACTTGTCATGATTACTGCTTTTCTCTATAATAATCTAAAGGCCAGGTATGGATGATGGTTGTCAAACCATTTTGAAAACACATTGCATGTCTAAGTACATATTCAAGTTGAAAAGGTGGACATTTTGCGGAATACAAAAAGATCAGTTCACCTAAGAATGACCATAAATTTTATTCAAAATATTTGAAGTGGGTTTCAATGCAGAATCTGACCTTTCACGTTTTTATGCAGCACACCTGTGAAGTGAGATTGCATATCTCTATATCCTGTTGTATAGAGTAATGTCCCTACAAGAAGGAACAAAATACACACATACATGCTGTAATTAGATATATCAATGTTTAGATTCTTTTACAGTGGTTGATCACCATACTGGTACTTTCTGCAACCCATATTTCAGGTTTTCTTTACTCAAACTTTTTGTTCAAAACAAAGTATGGCATTGGTTTTTACTATGTATGGCTCTTTGGGATGGCAGTATGGGATCTGTCTTCAGCCTGAAGCCCGTGTGCACATACATCCTCTAAGTACAGGGCAGTGGGTGGGGATCTGTGTTCTATCCTGACAGGGTTAGGCAGTGGTACAGAGCCCCCCCCAGGTATAAAAGACAAGATTCAGGAGGATCATCACTTGTTAAATTCAACTCTGTATGGTAGCAATTACTAAGTTTCATATAAAATTGACATACATAATGTTCTGGGTATTCTAAAACCAAAAGGGACTGACTGGAAAACACTGCTATACATATATAATCTATAGGTAATAAATGTACACATCTTGAGGGACCTGACACCACCCAGGGGGTATTTCGAACAGTCACTGCTAATTACATGGTCATGGAATACTGATGTTCAAGCCAACTCTTTGACAGAGAGCCTCGTTATCTGTTGAAAAACAGAAAATAAAATTGCATATTTTTGTAGCCACTAAATAGACTATAGCTCATGCAAGTTCCCAACTTTAAAGTCATCTAAGTGAGAAACTGACTGTGATGGTAAGCGACACCCATGACAAATCCATCCAGATTTGTCAACCTTGACCTAACTACTGTCATCACTATGGGCCTATTCCAACTCTAATCCTGGCTCACAAATGCCGTAATCTTTTGATACACTCCCTGTTTTTTCCCCTGCCACCCCCTTTCCCTCTACTTCTCCACCCCCCCTTTCTTTCCATCCTACCCCTGCCCCCTTTTTCACCAACCCCACTCACTTTATCCCACCTTTCCCCATATACTTGTCTCCTCTGTTCTTTTTCTGTGCATTGGCCTATTCTCCACTCTCCTTGCCTAGCCTTTAGCTCTTCCACTGATTTCTACCCAAATCTGCTGTCAATACTCACAGATTGACTAATTGCATCATGAATGACTTCTATACTAGATATAAGGGGTTCCCCTGTCTTTTCCTTTCATGGTTGTTATTTGCATGTTTTTATTATCTTAACCAGTGGAAGTAAATTAACCATAGAAAAACAGAACTTGCCTAACTGGCTTATATTGCTAATCTCAGACATTCAATACTCATGCATATGTTGACTTTACACTGTTTCATAATGAACCTTGATATCCAACCTGTATTTCTATTGTTACCAAATTCTGGTTAAAAAAAAAAAACAGGAACACAAAACTCTTCTGAACATGAATTGGTCATATTAATGTATAATGTAGTTGGGGAGTTTAAACTTATATCACCTACAGACCTAATACAATAACTTTATAGGGTTATATTTAAAAAGTAATGAATGTGATGATCACTAGACATTCCTTTAGAGGTGTAACTTATTGGTCAATGTCTTTTAAATAACAAGGATAGATGCACTTGGAGTGAATATTTGGTAAGTATCACAATAAATGCTGTATAAATATTCCCCATACTAATTAATTACTAAATGTTCAATCACTGAGCTGCCTTTAGAAATGTGTAGGTTGCTATGATTTCCTGTACAAAACCAGCCATTATGTATATTGGGGTTGCTTTGATTTTCTGTGTACATAATCAGACAATATGAAAATTGGCTGCTATAGGTTCCTGTACGTCTTCTATCAGTATATGCCTCACTCCCACCATTCCAAGTGATATAGTTAGTCTGGCTGAAAAAAGACATAAGTCCATCTAGTTCAACCATTAAAAAAAATATATATATACCCACAGTTGATCCAGAGGAAGGCAAAATAAAAAAACCCCAGCAAAGCATGCTCCAATTTGCTCCTGCAGGGAAAAAAAAAAAAATCCTGATCCAGGGGTGGACTGACCATTTGGAAACTCGGGCACTGCCCAAGGGCCCGGGGTCAGTAGGGGGCCCCATGAGATGCCCCTGGTACCGTTTTCATAGGCTTTTTTGAGTTTGGGCAAGGACACAGGGCCCCCATGATCCTCTATTGCCCGGGGGCCCCATGAGTTGTCAGTCCACCCCTGTCCTGATCCCCTGAGAGGCAATCGGATGTTCCCTGGATCAACTTTACCTATAAATATTAGTATCCAGTTATATTCTGTGTATCTAGGAAAGAATCCAGGCCTTTTTTAAAGCAATCCACTGAGCTGGCCAGAACCAACACTTGAGGGAGTCTATTCCACATTTTCACAGCTCTGACTGTGAAGAAACCTTTCTGTGGTTGGAGATTACATTTCTTTTCCTCCAGACATAAGGAGTGCCCCCTTGTCCTCTGTGATAACCTCAGGGTGAATAACTGTACACTGAGTTCACTATATGAAGCACTGATGTATTTATACATGTTGATCATATCCCCCCTTAATCTCCTCTCTCTTCTCAAGAGAGAATACATTCAGTTCCTCTCATCTTTCCTCATAGCTGAGCTCCTCCATGCCTCTTATCCGTTTGGTTGCTCTTCTCTGTACTTTCTCCAGTTCCTCAATGTTCTTTTTGTGAATTGGTGCCCAAACCTGAACTGCATATTCCAGATGAGGTGTTACTAATGATTTGTACCGGGGTAATATGATATCTCTCTCTCTCTGGACTCTATACCTTTTTTAATACAAGAGAGGAGTTTGCTCACTTTAGAAACTGCAGCTTTGTATTGCATGCCATTATTAAGCTTGTGTTCTACAGAACTCCCAGATCCTTCTCCACCATTGATTCCCCCAGTTGTACCCCCCCTAGTATGTATGATGCATGCATATTCTTAACCCCCAAGTGCATAACTTTACATTTATCAACATTAAACCTAATTTGCCACATAGTTGCCCAATTACACAGTGCATTGAGGTCAGCTTGTGAAGACATCCTGTAAAGACGTTATTGCACTGCACAGCTTGGTGTCATCTACAAAGACTGAAAAGGGATTTTTAATCCCAGACCCTATATTGTTTATAAATATATTAAAAAGTAAGGGTCCCAACACTGAATGGTCTACGGTTGTTAGTGGTGTACCCCAAGGTTCAGAGTATGAATCATTAACCACTACTCTTTGAATACGATCTTTTAGCCAGTTTTCTATCCATTTACATACAGATTTTTCCAAGCCTGTAGACTTTACCTTACACATTAGCCGTGTGTGGGGAACTGTGTCAAACGCTTTTGCAAAATTCAAGTATACCAAGTCTATCACTACCCCTCTGTCCAAAGTTTTGCTCACCTCCTCATAAAAAGAAATCAGATTTGTTTGACAACTTCTGTCTTCCATGAACCCATGCTGTTTGTTGCTTAAAATATATTTTTCCAGCAAGAACTTATCTATTTGGTCTTTTATTAAACTCTCCAGTATCTTCCCAACTATAGGCGTTAAACTAACAGGTCTATAATTACTTGAAGATTTTGACCCCTTTTTAAATATTGGCACCACATTGGCCTTACGCCAATCCAGTGGTAATATGCCAGTGATTAAAGAGTCCCTAAAAATTAGAAACAATGGCTTTGAAATGACAGTGCTCAATTCTTTAAGGACTCGTGGGTGCTTTATTCACCTTTATACTGTCTAAATATTTTTGGATCCTATCAATTGTGGATTATCTTGGGCTGTGTCAATACCATGCCCATTATGGACAAGAGCTCCCCCATGCTCCTTTGTATACACAGAGCTGAAGAAGGGATTTAATAAATTTGCCTTCTCTTTGTCCCCAGTCATCCACTCTAGATTATTTTGTAAAGGGCCTACATGCTCAGACCAGATCTTTTTACTATTAATATATTTTAAGAATTTTTTCGGGGTTTGTCCTGCTATCTCTTGCAATCTGTCGTTTGTTTTCAATTTTTGCGGCCTTTTTTGCATATTCTGTTATATTATTTGTAATGTTTAAACAATGCTAGCGTTCCTTCATTTTTATATTTAATAAAAGCTCTTTTCTTATTGTCTATAGCTTTTTAACTTTGGCCGTAAACCACATAGGTTTGATTTTTAGCCTTTTAAACTTGTTGCCCATGGGAATATATTTTGCAGTGTGATAGAAGGATGGATCTAACATTTGCACTCCCCTGTCTCTAATGAACATCTCTATCAAAACGTTTATTTGACTTTGGATCATCACTGTAGATAATGCTATATCAAAAAGACTGATTTATATGTTTTTAGCATTTCCTTAAAAATAAAAGGATACCCTCCTCCTCTACAACCCTTCCCCAGAAATCTGTTGTATTCATTTTATGATTTCTCCTCATTGGCTGTACATGTGACTTTACTGGAGAGTTCAGTCTCCAGCCATTGGTTAAGGATTTCTCATATGCTCACCACACAGGAATCAACCTGATGTAAAATGGCTGCAAATGCTAATCTCGATACAGCGCCGTGCCCGCTGCGCTGCTCTATTTTCACAGGACTCAGAGGCAGCAGTGGAATTCAATGGCTCCCTCTGCTGTCATTCAAATCCAAT